CCTTTGCTTTTCACAGGGCTGTTTCACGGCGACAACATTGGGAAGAAAATTGTTAAGATTGCACAAGAATGAGAATTTCCTAATTGGGTTATAACTTAGCCAGATCAATGCCTCAATATCGGATTCCTTCGAGTTTACTACATGAACCTACACGACTATTGTCATCTCTGTTAGTACTATTTTACTCACATTACTACATATTATCAATAAATATACGCATTGCATTGGATAATTTATTATCATATTTTACCAAAGGAAAAATTTTACATGAGGTTGCACCGGCATCACCAGATGATATATAGCAAATCAATCGAGATTCTCATTGCTACCCCCGCCAGATGACTTCCAATCTGAATGTGGGGGTGAATTTTGTGATTGAAGTGTTAAAGTATTAATAAAATTGATTGTTGTGTCGACAATTCCTCCGTGAAAACAGAAAGAAATCAACAAGAGTGAACAGGAAAGCAGATCTCTCTATGAAGATCTGATTAAATGCTTGCAGGGGAAAAGTGAAGACAAATGCTCCATGCATTTAACGAAGACAGGAATCATTGAAGAGTTCTCCACATATTTCTACGCTTGTTTTCTAACGCATTTATTATTTGTGGACTTTTGTTGCTTCATTTAATGTTGTCAAAAAGAGTGCTCGAGACTCCATGGCTCATTTAATGTATGTTGATATTTTGTCGCTAGGTAATTAGTGTATGAGATGTTAGTCTTTAGCATTAAATGTATCGTAGGTGTTCTACTATTATATAAGGACTAGAGGGTGAGTGTTATATGATAAGCCGTCATAAAGTATTTTAAGAACAATTTCTTTCTCCAACTTGTGCACTCGTTTTAAATTTCCAAAGTTGTCATTATCCCTTTTGGTTCCAACATAAAGGTGATCATAGGGCAGGCTCGTGCTTGATAGGCGTCCAGTTGAGGCCTGATTAGGTGCTTGATTATTATTGATTTCTTAACCAGATCAGTTTTAGCTTCTTCAAGTCTCTGCATTTGGTTTAGTCTATAGTATTACCGCTTGATTATGATTGATTCATACTGTGCTAGAGTTGTAATCAAGTTGAGTCGAGTTGTCATTCATATTAGTGTTATAACCAAGCCGAGCCGAATCGATGCAATTCAATGATCAAACTCGACTTGACTCAAACATGTAAGGCTTGGTACCCGATTCGAGCTTAATCAAGCTCGACTTCTCAAACTCAAGCGTGACTTAATTTAATATTTAATAGGCTTAGAATTCAGCTCAACTTGATTCAATTAGCTGAGTCCTTTTTGTGTAAGCTCAAATTCAACTTGGACTTGAGCTCGAGCTTGAGTTGGGGTCTGAAAGTTCAATGAAATTGATAAATAATACGAATTTTTTTTTGTGTGTATAAAATGTAAAATTGCAGGCATCGGTTGAGCTTGGGAATTACTACAGTCTAAGAAGGGATTCCTTGAAAATAGTGCTATTTATCACATGACAGCTAGACTAATGTTGGATTTCAACCGGCTCCTATAATTCGTTTGGTGCTCGTTTATTTTGTTCTCAAGTATTCTTCTAATTTATCTTTTTTCGGTCTTGCAAATTCAATAAACGTGTATAGTGAGAAAAAAATTATTTAACAAAATAAAACAAATCGGAGAAACATATATGATACACTTTAAGTATCATGCCATCTACTATGGAAAGATCACCAAAAAAATCATAAATCTATCGCAATTGTGCTAATTTAGTCGAAAACCTTTTTTTTGCCGATTGAGTCTTAGTATTATTAAAAATTATCCACATCAGCGCCGTTATGCCACGTAAGACGGTCGCAGAAAACTGATCCCGGTTACAAAGGAATTACTCTTGGTGCGGTGAGTGTGACTTGTTCATAGCAGCTAAATATATGTTCACAAGAAGATCATGTAAATGTGATGGGAATTGAAAATAGGAATTGGGTTTTCTTTGATTTTTGTCTTAAAATCTGTGTGCAGGAAATTGAAGCATATGGTGTGGCTTCAGACAATGTTGAATTTGAGAAGGGTGATTTGGTTGTGGGAGTTGTAACTTGGGCAGAGTACAGTAAGATAAGAAGAAATGGGATGATCAGGAAGCTGGATCCATTGGGGTTTCCTTTTGTTGTAATATTTGAATGGCTTCGAATCAAGAGAGCAATCAAATCGGACTTTGAGGCGTGATATCACTTTCCTTAAGGATTTATTTGCCCCACAATTGTTGCTAATGGTCACCGGAAAAAATCCTCCAGGATACAACAAAGTCTCAAAATGAGAATACTAGATAGCAATTCTAGTATTTCTCCAGGATCTCTCTAGGAAACAATTGAAAATGATGGCCGTAGTTTTTTTTCGAAAGAAGACTTGAAAATTGATTGATTTTCCTTCTTGCCAAAAACTGACATATATAGAAATCGGTCTTCATAGGCAACTCTTCACGAAAGGTTGCAAAGCTAACAAAGATTTTCTTTCAGAAGAAGTTGCAAACTGAACAAATGCAACCCTTCGGAAAAGGTTGAAAACTGAACAAGTATAATCTCCAAAAGTTGTCTTGAAAAGACACATGTAAAATTCGGAATAAAATAAAATAAAAAATATATATAAATAAAATTCCGAATTTTCATACTTTCGAAAATTATTTAATAAACAAAAAACAACCTTTCAACTAATAAAGATTAAGGAGATAACCTTACGAAATAAAATAAAAAATAAAGGGATTAGTGCTAAGTGCGCCAAAATCGCGCACCCGCACGCGGGTATTGTGTGGACTAGCACACACCCCATTGTCTTCACTCTAAGGAGTAAGAAGACACTCATAGTTATAAAATGGCCCACTTACCCAAAACTTTCCTATGTGGGACAAAGGAAAAAGCATTGTTTTGTTTGTTTTACAAACAAACATCCAACACCTTTGTCATACCATGTTCGACTATCGGGAAAGTTCACCGACAATTTCCTATTATCATAATATTTTCAAAGACACGAATTTCTTCTTAATCAAAATAACTTTATAAGATTGCCGCACATTTGCGAAGGGATAGCAATGGCTCTAATATCATGTTAGAAAGATCAACCAAACTTGAGCTAATCGGTGAAAGGAGACCACATGAATATAAAAGCATTTAGAACCTGTTGTCAAGTGATGTGGGATAATATTTCAATAGTTATTATGGTAGAAAAATGTTGTAATTAACTGATAATAACAGAGCGACCCAAAAAAAAAAACTGATACTAACAGAAGAAACATAAGAACCCCAAATGGTGTTGAAATCATCTGATGCATTGCAGCAATATATCACAGAAAGTACCCATTTGACTTATATAGTGTAGCACATTTGAACAAGGACATGTCTTAACGGGGCCAAGAAATGATGCAGTGCTTGTTTGACCTTGGATCAGTATCTTGCAGAATGCGCTTAGTTGTGTGATGCAAATGATGTCTCAAGCCATGTCAAGTTCTTGATCTCAGTCGCTCAAGATAGATCAAACAAAAAAAAAGTTTCCACTGATGCTTCAGGCTACCAAACGTTTTTTTCCCCTTCTGTTTGTGTTTCTTTATCAAATTTCTGCTTGCTCTTTCAGGATACAGTGGACTTATAGCCTACGCTGGATTCTTCGAAATATGCAAGCCCAAGCAAGGAGAGAAGGTATTTGTGTCTGCAGCTTGGGGATCGGTCGGTAACTTGGTCGGACAGTATGCGAAGTTGCTCAGCTGTTATGTGGTTGGTTGCGCCGGAAGCAAGCAAAAGGTCACTTTCACGATTTTCTATGTGACTAGTACTTGACGTGAGCCCACTTATGAATCTCCCAAGTTTTAAACTTGTGTCACAAGTAGAACTGCTCAAGGAAAAACTTGGCTTTGATGATGCTTTCAATTATCAAGAGGAAACTGATTTGAATTCAACTCTCAAAAGGTCAGGGTCCTCAATTTTAATATGCACGGATGCATTGACCACCTTCTTCTCCAGAGTTCTGGGATAAATCTAAGTTCTAAAAGAAATTCCTATATCATTTTGCTTCCTGCGTTGCCAATAACAGGTACTTCCTCGACAGAAACGACAAATACTTCGACAATGTGGGTGCTGAGATGCTAGAAGCTGTGGTGGCTAACATGAATACCTATGGCCGAGTTGCCGTCTGTGGGGCGATATCTGAGTACACAGATCCTGGAAAAAGAGCCGCGCCAAACATGTTAGATGTTATTTACAAGAAAATAAAGATCCAGGGTTTTCTAACCTGGGACCACATGGGCATCTTTGAGGATCTCATTTCGACCAAAGGCGACAATCTCCGCAGCGGCAAAATGCACCCGCTCTAGGACATCTCGAATGGTGTGGAGAGCATTCCCTCTGCTTTGGTAGGACTATTTCGTGGAGATAATATCGGAAAAGGATGGTTACAATCACAGAAGAATGAATTCGCTTTGTTAAACAACTTAACCAGAGAGTCCGTAATGTCTGTGGTAATCATTATAACTTTCATGCAAAAGTTTTCGGTTTCTCTACCTAATCTCGGCAACAAAAGTTTTTAAATGGTTAGCGGCGAATTCACTTCCGATCAAGTTCATCCTGGTTGAGCAGGAAAGATGAGTACAGTGAAAAAACTACAACTAGTAAGTGACGTCGGGTCACTTGGTAAAGTAGCTTGATACGAGTGATAATGAATAAGAACCTATCCAAAAGGTTGGAATCCTTGAGGCCAATGCAGAGGAGCATTTCTAATGCTAATTAGAGCATTATGATCACAATATTATTTTGGGCTACCGTCTGAACTCTCCATCCAGACAGTCATCAGAGGAACTTCCATTCTCAGAGTGATGACTCGGACATTTATCACGAGCAATCCCATTGTTGGAGCCATGACATCCGTAGTTTACTCGAGCATGGAACCTGGACCAAAAATAACACGAATTGTACAAGAAAAAATATGTTGTTACATAGAAAGAAACCGAGCAATCTTAAATGGATCACAATGAGTGTGCCGTCACGAACTAATGAATCCTACCCAAAAAGTTTGTGTAACTAATCTCTCTTACATTTAGATTCCCCAAGGGAGTGTCAGTGTAACATAGGATGACCAAAAAAAGATTATAAAGCGTAGGATCCCTGTGAAGCACTCAAAATAGGGATGACACAGTGACAGAGAGTCTACAGTAATATACTCAACAACATGTGAAGATAAACCAGTATACATACTACTGATATATACAATCAACATTCCATGCACAAATTTGATCTAAATTGTCTTGAGGTACACCAGACATGTATCGAAGTTGGATCTTCCATACCGCAAAACCATATTTACTCTGCCTCTAGCGATGGATTAATCAACCTTGTAACCCTTCCATGTTAGTTCCTTCAGATTCATTGGCTACGTTTCTGCCAGGATACTGATAAGAATTTGATGATCCCTGCAAAAGAGAAAAATTGTAGCATAAATTCTTTAAAATGTGGCATGAAAGTGTCAAATTTCTCATGATGCATAAGGTACCTGACTCAGTACACCTGCATATGCTGTGTTGCGATATTCAGACATCTACATTAATCAGTAACATCAGCTATCAAAAGGAATATAAAAAGAATGCTACAACAGTGGGACGGTAGATTCAGTTTACATAAGTGCTAGGCTCAGTAAATGCGTAAAAGCCACTCGCAAACGCAGGCGAATGGTGAACACTTGTTACATCTCGATAAGTAAAATGGTCTCGCTAATCAAATGAAAAAACATATCTCAGGCCAAGAGAAGATACCCCATTATTGAGACTTGGATTTGTAGTTGGACCCCCAAAATTGCAAGGCGAAAAACTTGACTGCTGACGTGAATGTGACAAATGAGTTGGTAAATGGGCTTCATCCAGAGTAGCGCTAACAACCAGCTCTTCAATACAGAATGAAATTGTTGTTATGTGGAGTGTAAAGTAATACAGCTCAAATAATTAATGGAAGTAAACTCATAATGCAAAATATTATCCCAATCACCTCGACTTTGAATTGCGGTTGAGGTTGCTCCTTTCGATGATTTCTTTTGTTTTTTCTTTGACTCAATCTCGACCCCATCACCCCTTACTCCCTTCGCTTTCCTTGGAGCGTGATCTGATATTGACGTTTCACTAACGGAGTAAGAAACCTCATTACCATTCACAACCTTATCGCTGTTATCTTCACCATCTTTTGTCAAAAGATTGGATTTGTGCCCTAGAATTTCCTCCATCGTCTTGTCCAAATTTCGCATTGCAATTCTCATTGTATTTTCATCTTCAGCACCCGAGTTCATAATAGCAAAAGCTTTTTGCATCAATGTAGAATAACGACTCATCTTTGATGAACATGGTGACACTTGTGGAGAGTCATTATCCACATTACAATCCTTGGCACCCTTAGTCCATCTCTTCAAAACATAAGCAGATGGGATTTTTGTAACCATAATGTTCCCGTTGAGTACATACAAAGCATGACGGCACAACCACCCATTTGATTCAAATAATTTACATCCACAAGAGACGGAAAAATTAGCAGAATCATATCTCACAACATTTTCCCCATGAACCCCATGGCAGACTAAAGTGTATTCAGAGACTACCCCATCAGAAGTACAACGCAAAACTCGTTCCGACATACTTTGCAAAAATTCCTCATTAAACTTGGAAAATATGGTGTGAGTGTACGCCAAAGCGGCATGTGTCAAAATCTCATTATTTGACACAAGCAATTTTGGCTTACCTCGAGAATTGTGATCATCTCGAACTTCAATCTCCCTCATATATTTCACCTGTTGTTCATAGTGGTGGACAAATCCGATAAGGTTCATACTATTAGCAGGCATTAGCCGGAAGATATTATTTGTGTTCTCACTCCTTTCAGTTGATCCAATACCACATGAATATATACCACGAGCAAAGACCGCACTCCATTTATTTCTCGATTCATATAGTCTGTTAAGCCAAGAATTGTCCTTAGTGCCCCATTCCTCTTCCATTTCCTTCCAAGTGGATTCGAATACAGACTCTGTTTCACATCTATATAGTAGTTTTGAGAAATATCTGTCCCTAAACTCAGGCTTCTCATAAAGATTGGGGATGTTTACAGCAGCATGTTTTGCAATGTGTGATGTGCATACACGATGCTGTGCATTCAAAAACACCTTTTCAACAGCTTTTTCCATAGCTTGATCTTGGTCAGTGAAAATCGTTTTGGGTGCCCTATTTCCCATTGCCTCCAAAAATGTCTCAAATAGCCATATAAATGAATTTACCGTCTCATCTAACAAGAGAGCACACCCAAATGAGGTATTCCTCCAATGATGATTAACCCCAACAAAAGGTGCACATATCATGTTATATTTGCTAACGCGATATGTGGTATCAAACATCACCACGTCACCAAAACAATCATAATCAAATTTAGACAAACTATCTCTCCAAAATAAGTTGGTCAATCTACCATCTTGATCTATCTGTACAGCATAGAAAAAGATGGGATTTTGCATCTGCATGCACGTGAAATGATTCAAGAGAGTTTGCCAATCCTCCCCCCTCACGATACTTGATCTTTGAGTTTGCAAGAAATTATGGCTACCACGCAAACTAAACCCCATATTTCTACTTCCTCCATCTTCATTTTCCAAAAAGTTAAATGAACTGAAATTTACAATACCAGCTTTCGCCATGTCAGCTAAGACACCTTTACTTGGATCAGAAATCATCCTTCCACATCTGATCAAGTGCCTTTGATTTTCCGGAAGAAATGCATGGTTATGCTCAGACATGTACTCTATGACTTCATGAACGCCATTTTCAACCTTAAATCGAATATGTGCAAGACAACCACACCTATTCTCAGTCCTTTCCATCTTTTTTTGCTGGTCGGGTGGAGTGCAAGAGAAACCCTCACAATTACACAGAAATGTACGCCGAGTGATTTCTCCTTTGGAATTTCTAGCTTTTTTACCCTTCCGAACTCCAAATCCCTTACGTAATGCATATGCCACATATGTATGATATGCTTTGAGTTCACTTGAAAAGACCATCCCCACTTTAAAATCGAAGTTTTTCGGGAGATTGTGTATTGAGTGGTGAAGATGGGCATCGTCACATTCTACAGTACAGAAAAGTTTGCGTAGAAAATCATCAAAACATGAGATTCATAAGTTGTAAAAGCATAAGTTTGATTAACAAACTATTGGAGGTCATTAAAGATTTCCCTACAAAGTAGAGATCTACACACCTTCTGCCATCTCCTTGCTTGCATCCTCTGGTTCCATATTATCTCTCATCCTGGTACTAAATTCACAAAAGTCAGACACAAAGCCCCCAGTAACCCACAAATATGATCCACAAACACAACCGTCCCATAAACTGTATAGCGACAACTACTGAATAGCAAAAATTGGACCTTCTCCTTTTCCTAGAGAGAATCCAATTTCTGATCAAATATCAACCAGCCACCCACAGATTACCAGCTCATGAAGTATCAAGAGATGCTCCAATTTCATTGTTTCAAATGAATGCAATTCAAGATACCAACTTAAGGGCTAAATCAGAAGCACAAATCTCATTGCTGTACAGAGTAACACAGTACGGAACTCTCACTAAACTACGAGAGAGAGAGAGAGAGAATCTAAACCCTTAAGAAGAAAGACAGCAAAGTGGAAACCAGCACGTTCATATGCTTCTTCGGGCTCAAAAGAAATTGAAACTTGACAAGTCCAACAGTGAAATGAACTCGAGACGTGAATGCTGCGGAGGAGAGAATTAACCTGGGGCTCCTGAGAACGACAAGAAGCTGGAGACAACCGGCACCCCCAGAACGACGGCGGCGACGCTCGACCGTACCACTTCCGGTGATCTTCACGGCGGCGCCGTCCCGATCTCCGGCCTCCTCCGTTCGACCAGAAAGGGAGAAGGATCGGAGCTGGAACGAAACTCAAAGGGCCGGTTCCAAAAATGGTCGAAATTGCCCATTACTTGTATTTTTACTGATTTGATTTGCTTATATAAAAAAAAAAAAAGAAATAAAGGAAATTAAAAAGAGGTTATTGTGGCTATAAGAAAGTTTTTCAATTTTTACCTTTCTATCAAGGAAGGGTCACTAGTCACACTTGTGAATGTCGCTGAATTTTTATGGTATCAATTACTAATTTCTTGTCTTGAAAGCTTACTAGTCATGTTATTAAGCTATCATCGTTAATACTCTTTCCTATTAGATTGGTGATTGATCAAAGAAAGTACTAGTTATTGAAATGGTGTAAGATGTTTTTACGTGAGAAATCACTATCGATTTCGACAAGTTGTCCGCCGGCCATAGAGAGAGTTTGAACTTACTATTCTTAGTATAAAAGTACCAGCCAAATAATGAGAAAAATTACTAATTATTCGGTAAGTACTTGTTTTGCCCACATATAACCATATTAGTATGATGAAGAAATTACGTCCCATGATCACTATCAAGGAGGAAGGTCCCAACTGCTGTATTGCAAAGTCTTTTTTAGTTATAAGTTATTAATGATATAGAAAACTACTACTTACATTACATGTACATATTTACCTTTTTTCTATTAGTAGTTACTAACCGCTTGATGCATTGATATATTTTTCAATATGATTCAATTCCCAATAACGACTCTGCCAGAATCACAACCATTTATCGTGTGGTCTATGTGAAAAGTTGTAGATCAGTCAAATCCGATATGAATGTCCTTGCTTGAGATCCATTATATGGGGATATATTCTTATCTAGATTTGAATAGATAGATCGGGTGTAATCGCGTGAGATTTGTCCGAGCCCATAATATTAAGTTATCGTGATTCGATATATTGACCTAGTTGTGAGCAAATATTCCATGGATCTATTATATATTAAACTCAATATGGATCGGACCTAATGGGATTTATATAGGACCTATTAATTTCGATTGTCCAAATTTAGTTTAGCACAAACACTACGCTCATATCATTTATAGGCAAATTAATTAATTACATTCGATACATATAGACGCAGTACATGCAATTTATTGCATCACGTGGTTCTCACGTGTAGAATAATGCTTTGTGTGTACATAAAAATATGAGATAAATGCACTAGAAGTTCAAAAATTTGTCACGAACGTACAATTGAGTCTTAAAAATTTCAAAGTTCAATTAAATTCTAAAACTTTTCAAATTGATGCAATCAAATCCTTCCATTAACTTCGTCAAATTTGATTAACGAAAAATGTTGACGTTAGTTTTTTTTATTTTCTCTACCCTTTGTGGCGTTGACATGACTAAACTGCGTATTCTTTTTTTTTTCTTTTTTTAAGTTTGCTTATTTTTAATATAAATTAAATAAAATTTGTATTAAAAAATCAAATAAGCCCTTGCCGCCGCCATCCCACCATCGTTGAGGAGGGCTGGCGATGTGGGCGAATGGTTTGCGGGGGTCGCCGAGCCCTAGCCAAAGGCCAACAACCCTCACTTAGATTCCTTTTTTGTGTGTTTTTTTTTTAAGTTTGCTAATTTTAATATAAATTAAATAATATTTGGACAAAATTGATGTCGTTTTAGTTTTGTGTTTCATGTTTTAGTCACGTTATTGCCACATAAGTGAGATAAAAAAAAAATAAAAACAAAGTCAAGGCAACATTTTTTGTTAGCCAAGTTAAACGGAGTTAACAGAATAACTTGATTGCATCAATTTGATATATTTTAAGACTTAATTGCACTTTTTAAAAGTTTTAGAACTCAATTGTACTTTAATAATAAATTTTAGAATTTTCTATGCATTTCTATACAAACATGAGAAAATGACATTAAAAGTGTCAAAAATTATGTACGGCGCGCTCACTTTAATACCAAAATTTTTTATTCGAATAACTTAACTGTTACTTTAAAAAAATCTTAGACAAAGGAATCGACCCAGTTGGCGGTGAAGTTGTTGGGGTCGGAGATGATGCCCTACTTCAAGGCTTGGAGAGTGATGTAGGCATTGTGGAGGCTTGGGTCCTCGAAGTAGATGGATGGGTAGACGGCAATGCTCTCTTTGCGGTTGCCAAACTCGTCGAGGTAGCGGAGGAGGTGGCAATGCTGGGTGTAGTGGGTGGTGGCTCCATGGGCGGTGGTGGACAGGATGGTGAAGGAGGAGAAGAAGGCGAAGAAGATGTAAAATGAATTTCGGAGAAACGCCGTCCTTTTACACAAGTATTTATCCATGTAGACTGGTTTTTATGAGAAAATGCTACCTCAAATAAAATTTTGAATTATAAAAGCGACGTAATTTCTCACCGGAAGTACTTAAGTGATCGTTTTTTCTTTGATTTGGCACTTATGTGGGTCGATGAAAACTTTTGGCATTAAAATGAGCGTCATACGTAACTTTTGGCTCTTCTGGCATCCTTCTCCCCTCTGTTCCACATTGCTCAACACCCTATCTAATTTCTTCTTTACAAATTCTTCCCCTTCTCTATTGTTTAATCAAGTGAAGGCACTTCCCTTGCATCCAATGTCCATTAATACACAAGAGTTCAAAAATCTCCTAAAGCCATTAGATGATAATGTTTTGCTTTTCTCTTCCCTTCTTTCTCATAGTAGTAAATTATTTCATTAAAATCTTCCAAAAAAACATAAGGAAGGGAATTAAGAGAGTTTATCTAGTGAAGATTGATAGAAGGGATCTCTCTTGATAATCATTAGGGGCATGCACTAACGTAACTCTCACCCACTTTTTATCTTCCTGAAATTACAAATTAAGTCCACAAAATCTACTGAAGCAAACTCTATATCAATTTTACCTAATCATCCCATAGGATAGCTAACCCACCTCCAATTCGTTAGATTAACAACAAAGTGATTTTAAAAACTGAGACGCTTCTTTACTCTTTTTTGCAATTGCTCCATGATTCTTAGTTTCCACCAGAAAAAGTAAGTTGCGCTTCTTTTGAGCAACGAAGGCTCTAAGATTCTGGATTGTCAAGGGAGTGCCCAAACCTTGATAGATCAAACTTAGTAGCTCCATTTTTCATCCGGTGGCTTATTAGAGCTAGCCACCAAAGCATATTATGTTGCTTCCTCTGTCACTAAGATTTGACTGTCAAGGAGTTGGGACTCATCTAATAGCAAAATTGTCCAAAAAGTCATAAATTAATATTGCACTTTTATCAGTTCAGTCATAAAATTGAATAGAAAATTTCAAAAACAAAAACAAAAACAGGACGAAAAGATCCGAAAAAGATCCTTTCAATTTTGCCAATTGATTCGACCCTAAAAAAATTGCCAATTGAGTCCTAAACCTTTTCACAGTTTGCCAATTGAGTCCATCCGGCCAATTTCAATCGGAAATCACTATCGTGGACGCCGGTAGTGCCACATAGGAAGGCTGGGGCTAACGTAAACAATTTTTAATATTATTTTTTTAAAATTTTTAATTATTTTTTCTTCTTTTTTCTTTTATTTTTTCTTTCTTTCTTTCTTTTGTTTTCTTCCAAGTCTAGCAAGGGTCGGCGAGGGCCTCGCGACCTTCGCCGTACTTGGAAGAAGAAAAAGAAAAAGAAAAAAAATTTCAAAATTTCAAAAGAATTAATATAAACTCAAAGAGCTTTTCCCGATAAGCTCCATCGAAAGCCTATGGTGAAATTATGATGGCATTACGTTAATAGAGGGACAATATCACAATTCAAACGTAAACTGAATCTCTTACTTTCATGATTCCTTAAATTTCTAGCTCTTTCCAAACTTACTTGAATATTTTTATTTTTCTTTGTAAGTTAGATAATCTGTTATCTCACATAAAAATCAAAATTCATTTTCTCAAATGGATCAAATATTTAAAAGCTCTTTCTCTAAATACTTGAAATTTATATTCATTTGGATTACATAAAATTTCCACATTATATGTTGTTGGCCAGCCCAGCGGTCCCGAGAAGTTCCTTTTGAATCCATTGCTACCTGGATGTACCTTCCGTCATTTATTCTTCTTTCAATTTTCAGTATCTCTATTGTTTTTCTATTAATTTCATTTGCATTTTGAATTTGTAACCTTTATTACATAACACTTTAGTCTTGGACAATAGATAGCCCTTAGAAATAGTTATGCATATGATGATCGTAAAAGAGGGGTTTGCAAACAAATGTCTAGCATGCACTCTTTTTAAAATGGCAACCATGCATTATTTTAGGGAAAAGTTTTAGCATCTCGATGTTATAATTTCTAGTCATACCTCAACTGCATTTCTTTTTAATAAATAAAGTTGTCGTCATGAGGTTCATATGTATACCCGATCGTTAAGAATAACCTTGGTTGCGGCAATAATTATGCATGATATGACCATGGAAGAATGAGACAAGTGGAAAACATGCATTTAATAGTGGCAAGCATGCATCATTCAAAGATAATATTTAGTCTCTTAAACTTTTAGAGAAAAAGTTTTTAATGATTGTAATTAAAACATTTATCTTTAACCATCTTTCAAATGTCATTTCTTGCACGCATGTAACATGTACGTTCATTTGCTAGTATATAGTAAAATAAACTCGAAAAACTTTTCCTAATAAGTTCCACCAAAAGTCTATGGTGAAATTATAATGGCATGACTTTAATAGAGGGATAAAATCGTAGTTCAAACAAAAACTAAATATCTAACGTTTTTTTTTAGTTAAATAATCTGTCATTTCATATAAATTAGAATTCACTTTCTCAAATAGATCGATTCTTTAAAAAAATTTTATCTAAATACTTGAATTTTATATTCATTTATAATAAAGAAAAGTTTTCATTATATATCGTTGGTCAACCCGGCCGCCCCAAGAAGTTTCTTTTGGATCCATTTATACCTAGAAGTACCTTGTGTCGTATATAACTTTTCTCTACCTTCTTCTTTCAATTTCAGTTTCTCTATTTTTTTTTAGTTTCATTTGCAATTTGAATTTGTAACCTTTATTGCATAACACTTTAGTCTTGGACAATATAGATAGGCCTTGGTTATGCATGTGATGAACGTGGAAGGAGTTTGCAAACAAATGTCATGTACTCTTTTCAAAATGGCAATCATGCATTACTTTACGGAAAAAAATTTAGCATCTCGATGCTCTACAACCTATCTCTTTAATGAATAAATCCGTCGTTTTTGAAGTTTATATGCATATTTAGTTGTCGAGAATAATGTTGGCTATGGCAATAATTATGCATGCATGACCATAAGGGACAAGTGGCAAACATGCATTAATCAAAGACAAGTTTTAGTCTCTTAAACATTTATCATTTACCATGCTTGCATTAAAAAACATTTACCATTGACCATCTTTCAAATGTCAGTTTCTTGCACACATGTAACGCGTGTGCTCATTTATACAGTACAATAATGGCATAATGTTAATAAAGGGATAAAATCATAATTCAAACATAGACCGAATCTCTAGATTTCTTAAATTTCTAGCACTTTCCAAACTCACTTGGATATTTTTATTTTTCTTTGTAAGTTAAATAATCTGTCCCTTCACAAAAATTAAAATTTACTTTCTCAAATAGATCAAACCATTAAAAGCTTTTTTTTTCTCTAAATACTTGAAATTTTTATTTATTTGGATTAAAGAAAAGTTCTTCATTATATATTGTTGGCCTACCTGGCCACCCCCAAGAAGTTTCTTTTCGATAAATCCCTACCTAAAAGTATCTTGTGTAGCATATAACTTTTCTCTGGTTTCTTCTTTCAATTTCAGTTTCATATATATTTTTTAATTTCATTGCATTTTGAATTTGTAACCTTTATTACATAACACTTTAGTCATGGACAATAGATAGGCCTTAGAACTAGCTATGCATGTAATGAACGTGGAAGGAGTTTGCATTAATTTACGGAAAAACTTTAGCATGCTCTAATTCTAGTCACACCTTAAATGTCTTTCTTTTTAATGAATACATTTGTTGTTTTGAAGTTGATATGTATATTTTCTAGTCGAGTATACCGTTGGCTGCAATAAGTATGCGTGATATGATCATTAAAGAATGAGACAAGTGGCAAACATGCATTATTCAAAGGAAACTTTTAGTCTTTTAAACATTTATCTTTTGCTATGTTTGGAATCAAAAACTATTATCTTTGACCATCTTTTAAATGTCAGTTTCTTGCCCATTTGCGAGTATATAATAAAAAAAACTCATAGAACTTTTCCTACTAAGTTCCATCAAAAAGCCCATGGTGAAATTACAATGGCTTAACGTTAATAGAGGGACAAAATCGTAAATCAAACTTAAACTGAATCTCTAACAAATCAATTCACGACTCCTTAAATTTGTACCAATTTCCACACTTGCTTGAATAATTTTATTTTGCTTTGTAAGTTAAATAATTCACTATTGTATTAAAATAAAAAATCACTTTGTCAAATAGATCAAATCTTCAAAAACATTTTGACTAAATACATTTTTTTTAAGACGGAGAATAAATGGGTGTTTTAGTAAGTGTATCCCTCTCACACCCCACAGTATATAATATTCATTTTGCAGAATAAAGATTTTCTCATTGCAGTGCTCAAACTCAAATAATATTGATTGAAGAAGAGGGCCTCGCTTTGTGCTTCTTTTCATCACCATGAACCTGAATCCGGAACTTGTGCTGTTGCTGCTTCTATTTTTCAGTCTTTCTCCATGTGAGATGGCAAATATTTCCGACGAGGATGATTTAGATTTGGAAAGCCAGGTTAGAATAATGAACAAGCCATCCATCAAGACTTTTACGGTAATTTTCCTTCAACCCCCTATTTTTTTGCAATAATCCCATTTAAATTTCACGGAGGTATTGCAATTTATCCGGTTAATCTTCGAAATACGATTGTTACTCTGCGATTGATTAACTCTGTTTGATTTTATCAAGACTAAAGAAGGAGACACAATTGACTGTGTTGATATCAACAAGCAACCAGCACTTGATCATCCCCTACTGAAGAATCATAAAGTTCAGGTAAAAATTGATCATTTTCTCTCAAATCAACTGATGAATATGTGGACCGATGTTGAATAATTTAGGTTAAATGGTCTACTTGATACTTCTATGATCAGTTTTTTCTTCTTGTAGAAAGAGCCGAATCTACACGTGAGCTTGCGCAAAACTTCTCCGATTACAAAATCGGTAAGATCTGGGTTGAGAGAGCTTTGCCCCATTGGAACGGTACCCATTCGTCGAGTAACAAAAGAAGATTTGGTGAGCGCAAGGTCCCTGCCCAAGATACCATCTGTCGCAGCAATGGGGCAAAGTCCTCATTCTCCAAATCAACATGTACTATCGCTCTCTCCCATGCTCATATGCATATCTACACATATACAATAACATCAGTGATTTTTCTTTTCCATTCTACTAATGAGGTTATGTGTCTCTGAATTTTATGAGACCACATATCAAATGTCCACTTAGTACAATCTCAAGATCTATTCTTTCCATGATTTGTGTAGTAAAAGAAAATCAATACAACTTTTAAAGTAAGATCGGTAGGCATAGGTGAATATGAGATTATTTATCATTTCTAGGTGGTTAACTTACAAATTATCATTTGTAGGTGGTTTCTCTAACAGACCTCATGGTAGAAAATATTAAATACGGAGGAGGTGGACGTGTGACGGTCTACAATCTAACTACTACTCCTGATCAATTTACTTCACATCATGTGTGGATTGAATCTGGTCCCTCGGAGAATGTTAGCATGATTATAGCTGGTTGGATGGTAAGTGATTTTTCAAGTAAGTTAATGCCATAAATTTTTTTGGACATAATAAGTTTAATATATGGTAAAATGATTTGAGAGAAAATTCTCTTATTTTTCTAGGTTGCTCCACCATTATTTGGCGATACCATTTCTCGGTTGTTCACGTATTGGACGGGTGAGCTGTGAATGATTGTTAATTCTTAATTAAAGCATTTTTCCCTTATTTTCGAAATCCAAACTAGAAATTGAAGATTATTTGAATCTCATTGACTAAAGCATTGTCCTCATAAGGTGATGGCTATCGCAATGGGTGCTATAATGCACTATGTCCGGGTTTCGTCCAAGTGAGTAGGGAAGTAACCCCCGGTTTTATATTAAAACCTACTTCTACTTATGGTGGAGATCTATATGAGCTTGCAATTGATATCGAACAGGTATGTTTGATCTTTTTCATGGTACTTAAGGTAATGATTTTTTGCTAAAATATATTAGCTACTAAAAGTTTTGTTCTTAAAATTAAAATTTTTCGCTATCATTCTGCCCTACTGAAAGTTATCCATATAAGCATATAATCCATCATTGCATCCATGTTAGATAATTTTTGCAATTTTTTCCATTAGCACTTATTATCAATAGCTCTTTATAATCAGGATCGAAATACTGGGAATTGGTGGTTGGTTGTGCTCGGGGCAAAGATTAAAGTAGGCTACTGGCCAAAGGAACTATTTTCATATTTGCGCGATGGCTCACAATACATAGCTTGGGGAGGAATTGGCTCAGCTGGAAGCGATGGGATCTGTCCCCCAATGGGAAATGGTCACATGCCTGATGATAATTTGAAGCATGCTGCCATCTTTCGACAACTCCATTGGGTTCGATCAGATGGCAAATCCCTACCTCCTTCGGATAACACGAGGGAGTGGGTGGATAGATCCAATGTTTATGGTTTGGTGAACCATCACCATGTGAAACAAGATCGAAGTGGCTATGCCATTAGTTTTGGAGGTCCGGGGGGTTATTGCAGGGGATAGAAAATTAAGATGACAAAGCTATCTTGAGCGATTCAAATAACAAAGCTATCAATTTTCTATTCCACACTTTATTATTTGTAAATTAGTGATTTTTATTTTCGTTTCCTTCTTCCCGTGGTAGATAAAAAGCATCTATTTTAATTTTATCAACTCCCTTTTACGATTCGTATTTCACATTTTCTTTTCCTTTCTTGAGATTGAGAGTGAGATTGCAATTACCAGCGGTCAAGATTAGTATGGATAGACTTTAATATAAAAATAGGCATGCTGGTATAGATAAAATCATTTATTGTGCATATAATGATTATAAATGACTTACTACAGCAAACTATATGATTAGTGGCAACAATTGCTGTGTCACGGCTAATATTAGAGATGTTACTGCTAATGGTCTTATTGCCAAATTTCGAGTCATCGCTACCCGCAAATAATAATGTGATTAATAGGTACCCTACTTAATTTTTTATCCAAAAAGAATTTGACCCTAGATCTCACGGGTCAAAAAATACGTATGAATATAGTTGGCAAGCATTTATCAAGTAATTTTTAGCAATACTCATTTTGTCGAAACCTATAGGCACAAGGAGTTTCTCAATCTTTTCAAAAATAGAATCTATCAATTTCCATTTATTAAGAACTGTGTCAATTTAAAAAGGAGAGAACTGTTAGATGTAAAAATTCAGTCAAATTTCCTCATTAATTAGCGTATAAAAGAGAATAAGAATAGAACAAAATATGAGACCTCCGAAGAGGCAAAGTAGCTTGAACCGAACTGACCTATTTGATAAAGTCTTATTCTTGAAAAATATTTGGTGGAGATGGGATACTACGTCATCAGCCCATTAAAAACCTACCAGCTCAAAGATTGTGTTACTTAAGTGTCACTTTAAAAAAATCACTTAAGTGCCATCGTCGCCGGAAATCTAACGTGACCATTTTTTTATTACTTTCTCTATCTGGCATGGCTCACCGACGTGTTCAATCAGCATATATAGCCCAAAATAACGCCATCTATGTGTTTTGCCCAAAATTTTAAACCCTAAATTGCAATTTGCAAGGAAATTCCCAAATTGGAACCCTTAAATCGACCACAACCCCACATCCGAACCTTTTCGATTTGGCCCCCAATGCAGATGGAATGAACGAGCTTGAGGGCGAAGTATAACCTTTTCGATTTGTCTCCCTCGACGTCGTCTCAATCTCTTGCTTATCAAAATTGAGGGCGAAGTATTACCTTGTCAAACAAGCAAATCCTTGTCGTGGTTGGTAATCAAGTTGGTTATAGAAGCTCCTGGAAGTGTGGATGACGGAGATCGAAGCTAGCGAGGGAGTAATGAACGAGCTTGAGGCACTTCATGTTCCTTGGCCGAGAAGTAGGGCAAAACAGATGACTTGCGTGCGGTGGTCGATATGGCCTTGAAGGTGCGATTGTTAGTCACAAACGGCGATCAAACTAGAGAGCTGATGTCCTGGAGGCGTAAAAGATGGTGATCGGCGCCGGCGAAGAAGGATCGAGCAAACGCAAAGCATCTCGGTCGCTCAAATCTGAAAAATAGAACAGAACAGAGGCACGATCGAGACTCCGAGGCATGAACAGCTCGATCGGCGATGGCTACTACGTTCAGAAAGTGACAGAAAAGAATTACCAATGATGCCACTTAAAATAAGCTGGCGAAAACTTAAAGCATTGAAGTGAGCATTGCACGTAACTTTCCACGGTCCTAGTGTCCTTCTCAAGTCAAGCCACGACATTCAATGACGGGGTGGATTTGGTCCACCTAAGAAGTTCACCCCGTAGGTGCGAAGATAAAAATTGGTCTTTTTTCGTTGGAGCGGACACCAAGAAGATGAACCAGACGGACCATTGCCAATGACCCAGAAGGCCATCACGGCCAGCCAAACCACCACCCTCGCTTCCCTCGCGAGAACATGCACAACTCTAAGCCAACTCAAGCAACTCCACCTCCCCGGAAACCCATCCGCCATCGGACCTCTGCTCTCCGCCGCCGCGACTTCCGGCGACCCTTCTTTCTTCTCTTACGCCCGCTCCGTTTTCGAGCATCTCCGTTGCCGCAGCACCTTCATGTACAACACCATGATCAGAGGTCACGTGCAATCCGGGTCCCCTGTTACGGCGCTGTCGTTGTACTCGGATATGTTGCATTCTGGGGTCGAGGGCAATAACTATACTTACCCGCCACTGATCAAAGCTTGCGTCTTTATGGGTCCCGATTCGAAAGCTATTGGTTTGCTGGTCCATGCACATGTCGTTAAGCTCGGGTATCGTGCCGACCCTTTTGTGGTTAGCGCGTTGATCGAGTTTTATTCGTCGGTATGCGATTTGGAGAGTGCGCGGAAGCTGTTTGATGGAAGTACTGTGAGGGATGTGGTCACATGGACTGCACTGGTCGATGGGTATGGGAAAGCGGGGGACATGGAGAATGCGAGGCACTTGTTCGACGAGATGCCCGAGAGAAATGTTATATCCTGGAGTGCCATGATGGCAGCTTACTCTCGAGTCAGCGACTTCAAGGAGGTTCTCTCTTTATTCAGGCAGATGCAAGGAGTGGGTTTTGAACCTAATGAATCTGTTCTCGTTAGTGTACTCACTGCTTGTCCACATCTCGGTGCTGTTACTCAAGGGTTATGGGTGCATTCATACGCTAAGCGGGTGAATTTCATTTCGAACCGCATATTAGCTACGGCACTGGTCGATATGTACTCGAGATGTGGTCTTGTGGATTTGGCTTTGTCAGTTTTTCACAATATTTCTGATAAGGACGCCGAAGCATGGAACGCTATGATCGCCGGGGTCGCTCTGAATGGAGACGTAGTGAAGTCTCTTGAGCTATTTAAGAAAATGATTGCACATGGGACTCAACCCACAGAGACCACGTTTGTTGCTCTTCTCACGGCATGTACTCATGCCAAGATGACTAAAGAAGGCCTTAAGCTTTTCGAAGAGATGGGTAACATCCATGGCATTAGGCCAAAGTCGGAGCATTTCGCATGCGTTGTCGACCTTTTGGCCAGGTCGGGTATGGTGGAGGAAGCCGAAAAGTTCATGGAGGAGAAGATCGGAGGACTAGGAGGAGCGGATGCTAATGTGTGGGGAGCATTGCTACACGCGTGTCGCATTTATGGGAATGTAGAACTCGGGAATAGGATCTGGAAGAAGCTTACTGATATGGGCATAACTGATAGCGGGACTCATGTACTCTCGTACAATATTTATAAGGAAGCTGGTTGGGAGAATCAGGCTAATCACTTAAGGAAGTTGATCTCGGACGCCCGAATGAAGAAGCTACCCGGTTGCAGCGTGATCGAAGTGAATGGCGTCGTTAAAGAGTTCCGTGCCAGTGATTTTTGTCATCCACAGGCACTGGAGATGTGTAAAGTACTTGATTCTTTTTCCAGCATGGTAAACTTGGAGGAGTTGTAAATCAATTGAAATGTTCTCCTGGACAGTAGGGGTGTAAACGGTTCGGTTCGGTTCGATTTTCTTGAAAAACCGAACCGAACCGAACCGTTAAGGGTGCCTCCTTGAACCGAACCAAATAGGAACCGAACCGAATTGGAACCGAACCGATAAGCCGATTTGGTTCGGTTTGGTTCGGTTTGGTTCGGTTTGCTTTTCGGTTTCTTCTTCCCTTATCTGTTTTCGCACTTCTTCCCTTCCCCCTCCTCGTCTTCTTCTTCCGCTCTCTCTTCCCTTCTCTGCGAGACTGCTTCTTCTTTCTTCTTCCCGTCAAGAAGCAGGTCAATTGATGACCCACCACCAAAAGGCCCCACCAGATCACCACCGGAGTCGGCCATGGACACTCGCCGGAGACCGAACTTCCGGCGACTGAACCCGCTCTAACAACAAAAAAGCGAGGACCGGGACTCGGACGACCCGTTTGGTTAATGGCGGCCATCACAAACACCTCGGAGCCGCCGTCGCCGGCCCAGGTGGACTCGATCTCGATGTCGGCATCGGCCGACGAGCTGACGGCCGAGGCCGTGAACAAGCGCTACAAGGGGCTTGTCATGCTACGGCCAAAGGCCGTCAAGGGGAAGGGCGCGTGGTACTGGGCGCACCTCGAGCCCATGCTCGTCCACAACGCCGACACTGGCCTCGCCAAGGCCGTGAAGCTCCGGCACTCCCTCTACGAGGCCGTCTTCTCCGCCTCCAACCCGTCGCGGACCGCCTCCTAGCACCTCAAGCGCGGCACCTGGCCCAAATTCAAGAAGCCGGAGAGAAAAATGTCTTTCGTCACTTTTTGGGAGATGATAATGATGCGAGCCTGCGAGGGAAGAGGAAGAGAGAGAATAAAGCAGGAAAGAGAGAGAGAGAGGAGAGCAGTGAGAGTGTGAAGACAGAGGAAGAGAGAGAATAAAGTAAAAAAGTGAGAGAGAAAAGTCAGTGAGAGGTGAGCAGTACTCCAGTAATGAACAGTGAGATTGAGGAGAGAGAGCGCGAAGGGAAGAAAACCACATTAAAAAACCGAAATCCGAACCGATTTGAACCGAACTGAACCGAACCATTGTGTTAACCAAATTCATTTATTTATTATCCGAACCGAAACCGAACTGAACCGAAAATGCATGAACTTTCGGTTCGGTTCGGTTCGATTCGTATCTCGGTTCGATTTTTCGGTTCGGTTCTGACACCCCTACTGGACAGTGATTTGGGCTAGGACTTCAGAGAGTTTTGGTAGGATTAGCCATTCTTTCGATCTGTAACATTTTGATTCTTGTATCAAGCTCAGTGAGTTATCAATTTGGCATCCATCCATAAGAATTGCATCTTTGATGGGTTCTTGTCTTCCTAATCAAATCAATATCAACCTAAATACGAGCTCCCATAATCATTGATAAATTTGACATTCTTTTACCTGGGAGACTCCTAATCTAGCGAGACATGAAAACTCACTCTCAAATCTCAGGCTGTCAGCTACAGCTTTAAAGGTGGGCCCCACCGAAAACCTAAAGCTTAAAAGGAGCTTAGTTCTAATCTTGATTCGACTTAATCTAATTGGAAAAGAATTTAGGTAAATATTCTTGTTTCTCGAAGCATAATATAATTACTTCTGAAAGTACCAAAAAGATTCACTTCAGGAGAACCTGATAGTATTCATATAATAAGACAAGAACCATGTAGATTTGCTTCATCATGTAAAATACTCCGTTGGTGGGCTTTGGTTTGTGTTCCTCCATATTGAAGAGAGCTTTCACTTCATTCTCTCACCAACCCGCGCCTTCATGATCACCCGCCATCTCAAAACCAGGACACTCCACAGAGCAGCAAGCCCACGATCGTATCGTTCAAATCGATCTCTCTTCGCTAGACCACCTTCGTCTCCCTCGTTCGACCAAAGTCCTCTCTCCAATAATGCATTCTCCATCAACCGTTCGATGGTGGATTCCATCCGCAAGAGACACCCGACTAAAGCTCTCTCCCTCTTCAAGAAGCAGCTCCAGCTGGGCTTTCCTGGCGACGTCGACGAGGCCACCATCTCCCTGGCGCTCAAGGCCTGCAATGGAGACCTCGGGCTATGTCGCCAGGTCCATGGCTTCGCCATCTCTTCTGGGTTTGTTTCGTTCACCACGGTTTCGAACTCTCTGATGAATGCTTATGCTAAAGGTGGGAACTTTGACCGAGCTCTGTACATCTTCGAGAACTTGGAGCGGCCCGACACCGTTTCTTGGAATACCGTTCTATCTGGTTTCCCGGATGGTGAAGACGCGTTGGGTTTCGGTGTTAGGATGAATTCGAGTGGGGTTGGTTTCGATGCGGTTACATGCACTACTTTGCTTGCTATTTGCTTGGATTACGAAGGGTTCCTGTTCGGACTGCAGTTGCATGGTCTAGCGATTAAATTTGGATTGGATACTGAAGTTTTTGTGGGCAACGCTCTTATAACTTTGTATTCGAGACAGGACATGCTGGAACATGGCAGGAAGGTGTTTGATGAAATTCCCAGTAGGGATATGGTTTCGTGGAATGCGATGATATCGGGCTACACGAAAGAAGGAAGTTATGGGGCGGAGGCGATACGGTTGTTTATTGAAATGGTGAGGGAAGGCATGAAGCTTGATCATGTCTCATTTACTAGCGCTGTTTCGGCTTGTGGCTATGAGAGAAATTGGGAGCTTGGGAGACAAATTCACGGCCTGACGATAAAAGTTGGATATGAGAAGCAAGTCTCTGTTGGTAATGTTTTGATCTCTAATTATTTGAAGTCTGAGGCCGTGGAGGATGCCAAATTGGTATTCATGAACATGAGCGAGCGAAATGTTGTCTCGTGGACTACAATGATCTCCATGGATGAAGATGCCGTGTCTCTTTTCAATTAGATGAGAGTGGATGAAGTTTACCCAAATGATGTTACATTCGTTGGACTTCTGCATTTCATAACAAATAACAATTTGGTCAAAGAAGGCGAAGAGATTCACGGATACTGCTTAAGGACTAGTTTTTGCTCAGAGTTGAATGTTTCCAATAGCCTCATCACAATGTATGCAAAATTTGGAACCATGGAAAATTCGTTGAAGATTTTTGAAGAGCTCAACTATAGAGAAATCATATCTTGGAATTGCTTTGATATCTGGGTACACCCAAAATGGACAGTGCCAGGAAGCAGTCGAGACTTTCTTTTCGGCGACAAAAGAGCTACAGCCTAATGCATACACATTCGGCAGTGTACTGAGTGCCATAGGAGCTGCTGAGGCTATTTCTTTGAGGCATGGCCAAAGATGCCATTCCCATCTAGCAAGGAATGAAGGTTATTGTGGCTATAAGAAAAGTTTTTCAATTTTTACCTTTCTATCAAGGAAGGGTCACTAGGCACACTTGTGAATGTCGCTGAATTTTTATGGTATCAATTACTAATTTCTTGTCTTGAAAGCTTACTAGTCATGTTATTAAGCTATCGTCGTTAATACTCTTTCCTAATAGATTGGTGATTGATCGAAGAAAGTACTAGTTATTGAAATGGTGTAAGATGTTTTTACGTGAGAAATCACTGTCGATTTTGACAAGTTGTCCGCCGGCCATAGAGAGAGTTTGAACTTACTATTCTTAGTATAAAAGTACCAGCCAAATAATGAGAAAAATTACTAATTGTTCGGTAAGTACTTGTTTTGCCCACATATAACCATATTAGTATGATGAAGAAATTACGTCCCATGATCACTATCAAGGAGGAAGGTCCCAACTGCTGTATTGCAAAGTCTTTTTTAGTTATAAGTTATTAATGATATAGAAAACTACTACTTACATTACATGTACATATTTACCTTTTTTCTGTAAGTAGTTACTAACCGCTTGATGCATTGATATATTTTTCAATATGATTCGATTCCCAAGAATGACTCTACTAGAATCACAACCATTTATCGCGTGGTCTATGTGAAAAGTTGTAGATCAGTCAAATTCGATATGAATGTCCTTGCTTGAGATCCATTATATGGGGATATATTCTTGTCTAGATTTTAATAGATAGATCGGGTGTAATCGTGTGAGATCTGTCCGAACCCATAATATTAAGTTATCGTGATTCGATATATTGACCTAGTTGTGAGCAAATATTCCATGGATCTATTATATATTAAACTCAATATGGATCGGACCTAATGGGATTTATATAAGACCTATTAATTTCGATTGTCCAGATTTAGTTTAGCACAAACACTACGCTCATATCATTTATAGGCAAATTAATTAATTACATTCGATACATATAGATGCAGTACATGCAATTTATTGCATCACGTGGTTCTCACATGTAGAATAATGCTTTGTGTGTACATAAAAATATGAGATAAATGCACTAGAAGTTCAAAAATTTGTCACGAACGTACAATTGAGTCTTAAAAATTTCAAAGTTCAATTAAATTCTAAAACTTGTCAAATTGATGCAATCAAATCCTTCCATTAACTCCGTCAAATTTGATTAACGAAAAATGTTGATGTTAGTTTTTTTATTTTCTCTATCCTTTGTGGCGCTGACATGACTAAACTGCGTTTTCTTTTTTTTTCTTTTTTTAAGTTTGCTTATTTTTAATATAAATTAAATAAAATTTGTATTAAAAAATCAGATAAGCCCTTGCCGCCGCCATCCCACCATCGTTGAGGAGGGCCGGCGATGTGGGCGAATGGTTTGCGGGGGTCGCCGAGCCCTAGCCAAAGGCCAACAACCCTCACTTAGATTCCTTTTTTGTGTGTGTGTGTGTTTTTTTTAAGTTTGCTTATTTTAATATAAATTAAATAATATTTGGAATAAAATGATGTCATTTTAGTTTTGTGTTTCATGTTTTAGTTACGTTATTGCCACATAAGTGAGATAAAAAAATAAAAACAAAGTCAAGTCAACATTTTTTGTTAGCCAAGTTAAATGGAGTTAACAGAATAACTTGATTGCATCAATTTGATATATTTTAAGACTTAATTGCACTTTTTAAAAGTTTTAGAACTCAATTGTACTTTAATGATAAATTTTAGAATTTTCTATGCATTTCTATACAAACATGAGAAAATGACATTAAAAGTGTCAAAAGTTATGTATGGCGTGCTCACTTTAATACCAAAATTTTTTATTCGAATCACTTAACTATTACTTTAAAAAATCTTAGACAAAGGGTGTAACGTCCTGAATTCGATCCACTTTCGCAATCAATGAAATTGATGTATTTCTCATTTCGTTTTGGTAAGTCTCGCCCGGAACTGATCATTCTCGGAATACAGACCAATAGGTAAAGGCCAACTGAGAAAACGGTACATGGACCCAAGAACTCGATCGTGAATTGAGTCCGATTCCGAGAAGCGACGAGGGAATATTTTGTACCAATGTGGGCCGATCCAAGGAGTGTGACGGATTCGATTTGGCCAACGATGTACGATCGGATCGCGAGTGATTCCGCACGACCGAGAGTACACGTGGCGAACGGTCCCGAACTTATTCTGAACGATCGCGACCCCCGGAACTAGTGATAAATCCTCGTGTTCTCTGGGAAATCGAGACCGTCGCGACTCGAGTAACCCTAGGTCGATACGCGTAACCCCTAAACAGCCGCCCGTTAGTAAGAGACGCTAAAATCGCAAATTGAGCGAAATCGATCGTAGAATTGAGTCCGGACTTCGGTGTCGAATTTCATGGGCGTACGCGACTATTTTGCAAGGACGACGTCATTTTTGTGTGGCCAGTTATATTTGGGTTCGATAGAGTCGAAAATTGGAAATTCGACCCGGGATTGGAAAATTACGATTTTACCCCTATGCCTAATTATAATGTTCCGAATTTTGAGATTAATTGGTGGATATTTGGGGTTTAATTTATGGTCTAATCAGCCCCAATAATTCAGAATATTATGGACAAGATTGCCCCTCCATTATTGGACTTGGATCAACCTCAACCCTTGGATTAGGGGCATGATGGTCTTTTGTGCATTAATAGTTCAACCACCCTACTAGCTAGCAATGTGTATATCCCTCTCTAGTCTCTCTCTCTCCCCCTCATTTCCTCCCATCACCTCCGGCCACTCCCCTCCTCTCTCCCTCTCCCGCGAGCTCTCCCTCTCTCCCCCTCTCGGCCGCGTGAGGCTCGCCGGAGCCGGGGCCACCGCCAACCACCACCACCCCGCCTTCCATCACCACCAACCCGACCATCTCTCTCTCTCTCTCTCTCTCTCTCTCTCTCTCTCTCTCTCTCTCTCTCTCTCTCTCTCTCTCTCTCTCTCTCGTTGCGCCTCTGTCTAGCACCACCGCCTCCCCTCTCCGCCGTTTGAACCGCCGTTGCTTGCGCCACCGAGGAGCCGCCGTGTGCCGCCGTGCCTCAGCTCAGCCCGTCCATTTTCCCCACCTATTCAGCTCAGTTGGGAGCTTAGGAATCCAAGTGAGTACAACCCTAAACCCTAATTAAGCTAATGTACATTTCTAGATGAGTTTTAGGGGTTAATTAGGGTAATTTAGGGGTTAATTTGTGAAGGATGTTAGGGGCTGATACTGTGACTAATTTGAGAGCTTAGTGTGATGATTTAATTGAGGTTTAGTGGCCCATATCGTGCTGTGTAGTGGCTGAGCGTAGGCGCCGTGATTCGGGGCGAAAATGTAAAATTGGCGGGTGTAATTTGTGAACAGAGTAGTGGCTATTTTCATGGTGATTCTTGTGGCCTAATGTGATGATTTGGAGATAATTTAATGGCCAAGGGTGGACTCTTCATGGCTGATTTGGTATTGGATTGATTCGGGCCATAATCGGTTAATCGAGATTTTAGGGCGAATCGCCAAAGGAATTGTGATCGGCCCATGAGGAGGCTGAATTAAGTAGGGCTTGATTGTGGTTGTGTAATGCCCTATGATGTGCTTGGCATGGCCAATTCGTGAATTGCTTGGTAAACTATCGGCATGTGTAGTTTTGGTGTTTTAATTGCGTGAAATTGGGGTGCCAAATTATTTGTTGCGATTGATTTGGTCTGATTGGTCTATTGAGCTTGTTGTGACATTATGGGAATAAATAGCCAATTCATATTGAGTGCCCCGTGTGAATTTCACGAATGCCAAGTGTGGATATTGTGGCCTTATGCGTGCATACTGAGTATTGGCATATCATGTACATTATGCATGTGCGCACGAAAGGCATGAGCATGTGATCACCTAATCGCCCTGATGTGTTTTATGCGGGGTTCAGATAATAACTGGTGTATGTGAATGTGTGATCACATAAAGCCTTGATGCGTTTTACGCGGGGTATTGAACCCGTCCTGAGGCGTGTTACGCAGGACGATGTCCGGACTACCGAAAGATGACCAACCTGATGCGTTTTACGCGGGTTTTGTGTCATGAGCCTGATGTGTTTTACGCGGGCCAGAGATCGATCTCGAAGTGATAGACCTGATGCGTTTTACGCGAGTCGGACCTGATGCATTTTACGCGGGTCGGAGGAGAATTGGTAAATTGCAAGTGTGCAAGAGTACAAGTGTGCGAAAGTGCATTGATGAGACATGAGCACGAGTATGAACATGAGCATGAGCATATGCCTGACATGCGTTGTGACCAAGTGATGTTATATACGTGCCACGATTGGGTTATGTGCTATTATTGTGAATTTATAAAGTGTCTAACATGCAGGATCACTTAAATATTGGATTTGGGCCCGAGGGCCTAAGTCATTTATGTTTTGGATTGTGTGTTGTTTAGTGCTCGTCAGGAGATGCATGTTAGCCTAGCTTAGATTTAGGGGGCCTACTCGCTGAGATTTATTCTCACTGTTGTATAAACCTAACTTTTCAGACTCCCGGCCTTGAGATGTCTGCAGTACCTATTCGTTTTGGGATCCCTTACCGGATAGACCGGGAGGAGACGGAGTACCTCGTAGGGAATGATGATACATATGTTAGATATCTGACTACAGTTTGGGTTGATGCGGGCGAGCAGCTTGACCAGTCCCACATGTACTTAGGTTGGTGTATCAGGGATCTCACAGGGACTTACGGACCCCTTCGATCTTTTGAGGTCCCGTTTAGTGAGTCAGGGGATGTTGACCCTCAGTGTCCCGATGGGGACTTGGCGAGCCCTGATCGTGCGTCCAAGGAGAGCTCTAGTGCTGACTTAGAGCACGGGCCAAAAGTTTGTGAGATGGACGAACCAGAGCAAATGGAGGAGGAGCCGGAGGATGGGGACCCAGGCCCGGAACCGATGGATTCGGAGGATGAGCCAGAGCCGATGGAGCAGGATCTTGAGCTGGAGGCCGCACATGAGGAGGACGGTTCAGACGAAGAGTCATCCGGGATCGATACCGAGTTGAAGTCTATGAAGTCCGAGCCCGAGTCATCCGAGAGTTCTTCCAACTCGTCGAGTTCTG